ATTTTTCTCTTCAATCAATAACTTTATAGCTTTCATGTTCACAATCTGGAGGTAAAATCCACTTCAGACATGGTATAATTCACTGGTCTACTGTAGATATGCACTTGGGCCAGGTAAACGTTCACAAAATCTCCTGTTCTTCCAGTAAAAACACCACAGTAAGCTACAAGAATTACAGAGGTACAAAACTCCACAGTCATTTCTATACCTTGTGCGAGTCAATTAATTTTCATTGACCACTTGAGGACATTCATATCATTACAATATGAGAAGAAAATGTTTTTTCCCCCAACTCCCAGGGAGCTAGATATTGACCCAAGCTGACATTTAATTTATAATGCACTGTGAATAAAACTTGGGGTCTCCCATTTGATAGTCTTCCATAACGCTTATTGACAGTAGACCTCTTGCTGATCTTTTCACCTGCCTGCCCCACTGATGACTTCACTTTTAACCATCTGAAAAAATGGAATAAAGAAATAGCATGGAGGTGACATCAGTCCCAAGATCATTATTTCCAGTGTTATTAATCAATAAAAAAAATCTCCTTCCTACCCCCATCGCTTTTGAGCTATGTGGACATTTTTAAGAAACAAATGCATATCCATGAGTTTTTAACTCTAAAGCAGACTCTTCATCATTCACTCTAGGTAGCTACAGTATAACTCTTTAGCCTGTGCTGCTGTGAATCCGAGACATTACACCCACTCTGTGATATTCTGTTCATCCTGAGCCTTGTACAAAAACCAGATAAGTTTGTAAAATATAAAATGGTAGACAAATATCCTGCTGATGCTAATAATACCATAAATTGTAGCATATGAAATTAACACAAAATTCCTTTCATCCTAACAAAGGAGATAATTTAAAAACAAAAACATAAGCCACATTCATGAATTCCTCCACACTTCACCTTCTACACACAGAGTTAGAAACCCAACAGGACTTAATGTTGCAGTTTGCATGTATTCTCCTGGGCACACTTCAGCTGAAAAAAAACCAGCCTCTTTCAATTTCTCACAGCACTGCAAATTTGAAAAACATGAATGCAGTCACCCACACAACGTATTATGTCAGTCAAGAGTTAGCCTTGCTACTTTCAACAAAACTGCTATTAGGTTCCTTACTCCCTATATACAGTTAATATAATAACTTTAGTTACATAAGTTCAGGAACAGAGTTGGGTACAATTACTTTTAAAAAGAGAAGCAAGAGGGATTACTATTTTTTAAACTGATATGAAAATAAAAATAATTTAAGAGATGATGGGGTACTCTGCTTATACATTATACATGTATTACATAAAAGTAGTCGACAAAAAATGGAAATACTGATGTAAAATCAATTAAAAGGCATTGGACCACCATGTGTGACCAGTGCAGCCTGTCTGCACTATGACACAAAGGCTACCAGCATCAGGAATTCGACAGGAGGTCAATCAAATCAGGCTTGTTGATTGAGGTTCTGAATTCTGTCCCAGGTGACTTTCCAGAATTACCCATAAATGCTTGATTGTCTTCAGATCTGGTGACTGAGAAGATCATGACATGTGGTTAACATCAGTGTCATGCTCATCAAACCACTGGACAACCACATGTGTTCATTGGCATCCTGGAAGACACCCCTCCTGGCAGAAAAGAAACACTGCAGCGTGAGGTGAAGATGATCACTCAGTACCATTAATTAGAAATTGACATTGACTTCTGAGGGATTGAGAGCACCCAAACTATGTCAGAAAAATGCATCCTACAACATTACAGAAACCACCAGAACCCTTCAGTGTTAGAACCTCTGCACCACTGCCAAGTATGATAAATGTTTTTTTTTTTCTGAAGGAGATCCGTGTAATTTAAAAAGTGCAACCTGATTGTTGTATCCCACTCTCTGGAGTTCTTGGTGGACTGCTTCTGCTGAAACTGGCTGCTGGCACCCAGTGTTGAAATTTGCAGTTAGTTGTGCTGCAGTTCAAATCAAGGTGCAGATACCATAGTCCACACACTTTCATCCACTGCTGCCCTAAGCTGTGGATGTCCTTCCCTCGGACATCAATGTCGACATCACCTTAGGCGCTGCTACATGTCCTCAAATTGACATCACCGAAGCTCCAGCCAAACACACCCCAATAGCCACCACTCCTTCAAAGTCTCTGAGCTCTCCTCTTGCCATCATGCTGGCCAGAATTAGAGACAACCAGGTTTGTCCAGCATTTTATACATGACACTAAACTCCCTGGGATATTTACTTAACACTGGAGTCACGCCTGAATGCAAGCCCTTGCTTTCAATAAACTCGGTGTCCCTCCTTTTACTAGACGCTTCCATTTTTTGACCAACTGACTACTTTTCCAAATTAACCCCCCCCCCCCCCCATACTTGCAATTCATCCATTACAAAAGCAATTTGAAACTGGAATGTTTTAATTTTTGTACTGTTATTCTGATATCTGTCAACTTATTTGATTTTTTATAGTAATTTATATTCTTTTTAGTTTTGAGGTCAGACTCATCTAAATGACACTAATGTATGTTTACACAGTTTAAATCTGTGGTGAAAGTACACTCGAATGAGTGCAACTCATTTTGGGATGCCATGAGGAATTCACCATGCACTGTAATCCATCCTTTTCTCCTGCTGTAATTTCTTTATTGTGGACAGTCCTACATGATACGCAACTTTTCCATGGCTAGTAACATGCTACCGTTCACCAAAATAATTTCTGGTTTTGGCAAATTCAGTAAAATATAACTTTTACAAAACTGATTAAGAAAAACATTGGACAGTGGTCTCGATTAAGAAACGACGTACAACGGATACCTGGTGCAGCAGCATGGAAACTGCATGGTTCTCCATGAGAATTTTAAGAACTACAGGAAACTCTGGATGCTAATAAAATCACAAAACTGACATTTCAAGCCAAAAAAATGACATGAACATCTGGTGATGTTTAAAATTAATATGCCTTAGCCACACCTTTTGAAAAAACATTTGAACAATTCATATTTCTAATCACTTTCCATACTCCCATGACACTTTAGATAAAGAGGGGCGTCCTGTTCTCGGTGTTAAATCCACTTCCACATACATGCCATTTGTGTCTTCTGGTTCTGTGAAGTACAGGAATTCAGGAAGACATGTGGAGTCCCTGTTTTAAGGAAAGGAAAGCCCCGGGAGATTAATCCTAATTCTGCCCTTAGTGCTGCTCTGCCTGTTGCACACAGCATCTCGGGGAATCTTGTCACAGTCAGCTAGTGACACGACTCGTGCTCCAGCTTGTGACCCCGAGATCTTTGAGCTCAACCTTCCTGTGAGTGAGCGCTTTAACTCGGCAGCCTCCGAATTACGTGTCCAGTAATTCCTGACCAGAAAATGTTACTTATAAGCAAAGATATTTAAATTGAGACGCTGATCCGCCTCAGTAAAGCATGAAGCGATGTGGCATTTTAAATATTGCCTATTAAAAACTCCTTGACTTAGAACCATTATTGAGGTATCATCATACACTGCATTTACTGTATATGAATTTAAAGGCACACATATTTACAGTATTCGCTTTTTAAATAAAAAAAGAATTGTCTTAAGATGTCATCCCATGGATCATTCTTGTGTAAAATCTAGCTTCGAGCTCCCTCAGTTTTAAGAGCGGTCACACCATTAAACAAGGTGTTGCATCTCATTTAGTTTATTATTGTAAAATCTGGAAGGATATTAGTAAATGAGGCAAAGGGGTGCAAGACACCAGTGACAAAATCACATACCTTCTCTCCCACTATAAAAGGACATACTGTAAGAACAGAAGAACAGTAACAAATGAGAGAAGGCCTTTTCGTCCGTCTAGCCTGTTTGGTAGCTAGTAGCTAACTGATTCAAGGATCTCATCCAGACGTTTCTTTAATGAAACCAACATACTGTATCGGCTTCAATCACACTGCTGGGTGGCTTGTTCATGCTCCCACTAGCTTTTGTGTAAAGCAGTGACTCTTATTCTTGCTTTTAAATGCACTTCCACAAAGGCTGAAAGGCCTCCACTCATTTTCAGCCTGGATAGCACATTTGGATTTTACAAGCTAAATGATACCTATACTGTACAAGCTTTTCCATGGAAGTTTAAAAGCGTGTACCGTAGGCCGAGAAGCAAGTCTTTGGTATTTAAATTACAGTTCAAAAATACACATGCAAAAAAGGTTTCTTCGGCCCTGCCTAAACCCTAGTTTAACCAGCACAGCAAAACAGAATCATGAACTGAACTTTCTTGCAGACAGTTGTAGTGACAGTGCATGCTGCACAAATCAGGTCTCCAGCAGATAGTTTCCCTAGCTGCCAGATTGGATTACTCTCTCGCCCTGATAATTTATTGTGCTTTCAACCAATGCAATAATTCAGGAGCCCTCCTCCCACGCTACATGCTGACAGTCTTAACCTTTCACCCCCCAACCTTCTGATGAGGCTGAAGTGCCTGGTCAATGTTGAATGTCTACAAGGTTAACAACTTTCACTTAGGAGGACATTTTAACCCCTCATCTGTCAGGCAGCCAGCAGGTCCTCAAATCATTCTGTCACCAGAAAGCCCAGCTGTGTAGTACAAATTCCACAACATAGTCTTGCAAACGTCAGCTTTTTTACAAATTTCCCTCAAACCTTCAAAAAAAAAATTACCGAACATGCCAACATTACATAAACAGAAAAAAACAAAGTATACGTCAACTTTTCTCAATGAATATGAAACAAGTTCAGAATCAGAGGCAATTATTTCTAGAATTAATTTAAAGTTGTTGTTTTTTTTCTAGCAAACAAGGAATACAGTGGTTAAAGCTGGGTTAAAACCTAGCTCGTTTTTGAACGGGTCCCATCAGCTGCAGCTGTTGCTATGAAACTCAAATAAGGCGTGCGGCTTGTGAGCACTGTGACAGAACCGCACGCACACCAACGGAAACGAGTCAGAGACCCAAAGCCATGTGTTTGTTGTTTTTATTTTGGTGATCAGCACTGCGGGCTCGTTCTTACCTTCCACCCGGCCGAGCTGTTGCTGTCGCCTTTATCCTTAAAGTACGGGACACACCTGACCATCCAGTCGTAGATCTGGGACAAGGTGAGCCTCTTGTCCGGCGTGCTCTCTATGGCTTTGGTTATCAGGTCTGCGTACGACAGGTTGCCCCAGGCGTTCCGGCGTGAGGAGGACTTCCTCGGCTGCTGGGACCCCAGGCCGCCGCTGGAGCCGCTTCCAGCCGTGCCCGGGGACTGGGACGAGAGCGGGGACCCTGCGTTCTCCTGGCCAGTCGCCGCTGCACCTATCGCGTCCACTAAGAGGGCGCTTGGACTGTTTTGGTCTTCCCTTGTCGTGCTGGTGTTGCTCAGGGTGCCATTGGCATTGATGGTCATAGAATTGGCAGTGTCGTCCTCATCGTCCTCTTCCTCCGGGATAATGTCCGTGTCAGTGGCTTCGGGCTTCTCCACATTGGACTGCAGGTCAGGTCGGGGTAAAGGCCAGGTGCAGGACCTTGGCCTCTTCTGTGGCTCGAAATCAGGGTCTATCTCAACGTCCAGCGGGGAAAGAGGGTCAGGGGGAGGTGCTTCTGCCATCTTTTCTTGCTCTCTCGTTAGTCCCTGCCACAAAACGATCACTCAACAAATCACCACAGGATGCCTGTCAAAGTCGCATTCCATGAATGCGTTTCACATATTAGAAGTTGCGTTCACGGGGAAAGTAAACGTAAATTTAAAGCCTAACAAAATGCAAGTTCTAAATAAAAAAAACTCGGTTGTGAATAATAAAAAGAGGCGATTTGTTTTAAAAAATGCAAATTGGATAAAGCAAAATATTTTTTTTCCCAGTAAGTTTCTTCCAGCTTGAGGCGTTCTTCATCACCATACCCACATCCAATGTTAAATCCCATATGTTTAGTGTGGTGTAATTGCAGTACGGCTGCAAACCACAGGTATATCCCAGGATGATCTCGAGTTATTCCGCTAGTTATTCGCTGTGCAATTTAATATTTACAGGCCAGACACTGTAGTTCTCTGGATCCAATGAGTACTACGGCGTATACCACCAAAGAGTCAGTCCTCGTAGTAAAGCAAAGAAGGATCCAACGTCGTACCAATGCGATTTAACTACAAATCGTCTCCGCACCTCAGCACCGTACAGAAAACAAATATGTAATGTACATTTAAAAAATAAATTACAATTGCGTCTGTCTTTGCTGGTCCGTATTTATTCAAAGATCCATTCTTCAGGCTCCAGGTAGACTGCAACGCTGAAAATCGCTTTGGGAAAAAATAACAGTAAAAAACCCAAGATTACTGCCAGCACATTCCTATTCCTCCTACCGCTGCCATCTTGACAATTTCCCCTTCACTCAAGTCCTTTTTAATAACTAGACAGGAGAAGGACACCCGCTTCCCTGACAGTTTTGCATTTAAAAAACGAATCTAAAAAAAAAATGCAAACATCTCCTCTTCTCGCATTTCGGAGGACGTCAACCACAGCTTCATACACAGATGCGAATTCACAGTGGCAGTACACTGCACCCCCTACCACTTACGTACATCATTATCCTACTCCACATTCCGTCTCCTGACAGCCTGCTGCAAAATCTAACTTATACAGCACAGATAGTGAGACTCAGCCTAACCCCAGCACTAAAAAGACCTGCCCCCTGGATTCCACGGAAGGCATCGCCTTTTAAAGAGACAAGGTGCCAAATGTACAGTACGGGCTGATTACAGAACAAGTTGGGACATGCGCAGATTCTCCACATGCTTCGGTGGTCGCTTGTCTTTCACGGTCAAGTCAACGTGTCACAAGGATTGTTATTTCTTTTTAGATTTTCCAGGCAAGCCTGTAGTTAAGTCTTATGCGTGAATGTCAAAGGAAACAGTTTCAATGCGGGATGTTTCGTGGATGTGACGTTATTTTCATAATGCAGTCATACATGAACATATTTTAGAGACATATAAAATGCTTCCACTTTTTAAGAGTTTTGCTTATTGAGAGGAAAACAAAGAAATCCAATTTGTTTTTGGTGTTTAGGGTGTAGGATCACTAAACATTGTCAATATTGCATTTTTTTTGTGTCTGTCTCTATTTCTGTGCATTTAGATTGTTTAAATAACTAATTGTGAGTGTACAAGTGCAATGTTGAAAATGTAGTTGCTGTGGCACAGTTCTTTACCAAGACAGATACACTTACAGGAAAGCAAAATGGAAGTGTGGTTAGGGCTCTAGATCGGATGGTTAAGTCGTGGGTTCAAATCATGGATTGTAATAACCTTGAGCGCATTCAGATTGCTGCAGCCCATGCTCTGCTCTACAAATGTGTCTTCAGGTGAAAAAATGAAAGTTAAGTAAATGTAAAATTTGTCAAAAGCAAATGAGATTTTGTTCGATATACGCATCACAGTGATGGGCCGTGCAAACCAAGCTCACCTCTCACCACATTCTTGACAGATTCAAGTATAGATTCAGATTTCTAATCCTATAAATAATGTAGGTCTGAAGAGGCAACACGCCAGTTAGTTGCAAGTAGGGAAAAAGAAAAGGTAAATTAATTAAAAAATTAAAGTCTTTAACCTAGTCAAGGCAGGGCACTCAACTAAATAAAGAAAATCAACAATCACAGATACCAGACAGTGTAACCATTGCAGTACAATGGGAGTTTATCAGAAAAGGGATCAGATAAGTATGTATGCCTAGATTATTTTGTCAAACTTTGATCAAAGCTAGTTGCATATTGTGTTAAATAATGTCAGAATAAAATGAACCGTGGGTAGTGTCTAAGTCTGGCACAGATTAAATCTGCATGTGTTTAAATTGCATACATGTTCTCATTTTGCCACTTCTGTTTGCTTTTCTGCCTGTCCCTAACAATGCTCCCTTCACCTTCTTCTTGTCTGAGCCTCTTATGATAGTGTCAAATGTGAACTCTGAAATATCGAGTTTTTGCCTGCGGCCTGTGTGCTACTCCACACAGCTGTCGTATAAGAGGTGAGATGCTTGATGAGATGCATTGAGGTTGCATGTTCCCAGGCATCAAGAAAAAAACGCCCACCTTGCAAATAAATGTTTCCCCTTAACAAAAGCCATTCCAGACTGGCTTGCATAGCAATCTTGAGTTATCGATCAGCAATATATAGACTGTACATCATGCTACCGGAGATCAATGCTGAAGCTATCTGCAGTCCATGTGATAAATGTGTCGGTGTAAGACCACACTGAAGAAAAAGAAAGATTTACAGATACATTGGGAATGGATTTCTAAGCATCAAATGCATTGTGACCTGAAGAAATACATACATAGATAACGTAGCATTAGAGAAAAACACAAGGACCAGGGTTTAAAACCCAATTGTCACAGAAATAGTACCACATAAATACAAATACATGTCAAGACAACAATAATAACTTTCATCAACACTTATTAGATGATAATCGTGGATCAAATGAGGGAAGGTCAAATGAACACAAAGACTGAAGAGTAATTAACGGAGCCCAAATCTGGAAAAACAATGTTTGTTCTGGAAACATCGGCAGCTCTGGCAAATGGTGAGCAAGGTTCTTAGTCCACAGTGCCACTGTTTGTGTCATGCAAGGCAGCAGCTGGACTGCACATGGTCTGCAGAGCTGCAGCCTATTAGTGGCACAGTTTGGCCTTTTGTGTTTCACTGCTCGGCCATGGGCTGGCTTTTCCCCGGATAATACCCTCACGGAACAGGTGCTGGGTAGCCTTGACCCGTCCCTGAGAAAGCATGCCATTTTCAGGAATCCTTCACACAGATCACACAGGGATTGCTGAAAATGGCCACACAGTGGGTTTACTGAACTTCTCTTCGTAGAAGAAGGCAAAAACAAAAGTAGAACCACTTTAGCTTTTCAAAATAAGCGGTTTAGAGCAGTCTTCTTCTGTAAAGACATGTGCTGTTGAAGACGAAAAGCCTACTCCTTTAAGACTGCAAACAGCGCTTGCCCTTCGAGTTTCCCTTGTGGTTGTCAATCCTCGTCATTGCAGACAGGACACGCCCCCTTCAAGCTTGTTTGACTTCCTCAAACACATGACGTCATTCTATTTCTAATCAAAGAGCCCAGAGCGAGATCCTCCGCGACCGAGAGTTGGCTGGCTTGACAGTCCAATCGTGTCAGTGACGCTGTCTCCGTCCCTGCCCCCCCACCTGGTCTGAAACACACCACTGCAACGCTTTTGTTTTTCGTTCGCTCGAAGAGAGAGAAGTTGCTTTCTGTGAAGTGTGAAGCGGATGTGTGCTCGAGTTTTGTGCAACGGAATGCGCCGCTGAATCCTCCAGATAAATTACCGAGGCGTGGGGTTTTGATTTATGGATGCAGACATAGCAGAACCTCAGAAAGTTACTTTATCGCTATACATTATTTAAATTGTTCCGCTTGCATGGTTATAATGACTTGAATGCGTACTGTATCGACTGCACTAAAACAGCTGTCAGTCATGATAATAATGCTAGTAGTAATAAACCCTTATTCGGTATGGATGTCAGACAAAGAGCCCAAAGCACTCGTGTATATTTATTTAAATTTGCATATTTTATATTTCGAGCCCACGTTACCCGTAGACACGTGCTAGTTAATGTTGTTAGGCGACTCAACAGAAGGTGAGGGAAAAGGGAAAAGATGGTGTTTCTAGTCCATACTCGGCATCGGTCCTTCCTGTTCGTACGGGGAATCGAGTTAAATAGTAAGAAGAAAACGTTCTTTATAATCTCCAGAATTATTTTTTTACACCAGTGTCTTTCTCACTGCCGAAAAAAAAACATTGGCCGCGTTATCCGTTAACAGTTCTAGACTATTTTTGTCGATCGACCTTAGTTCTTTGCGTGATTAATTTATGAACGATTTGTTTAAATTTTGCACGAGTGCTTAACACGTACAACTAATAATACCAACATCGTTACGAAATCCATCAAGGAAACAGGGTTTTCATTACCTGGGACATCAGTTTAGGTGCAAAAGAAAAATTTGAAAGGTGACAGAAGTATTCTCTGTCCGTGTGTAATTAAAGTGCTTTAACTTGTCTTCGGAGTAAATGGCTTTGTCTCCCCATGCCCCCTCAGACCGATATTAAATTTCAAGCTACAGTTCTCGTAGTGATATAACAAATCAACCATGAGGAGAAAGGAGCTTTTCGAGACATGTCGGGGATGAAGTGGTAGAGAAGAACAGATCAGGAGAAGGTGATTTGTCCCTTTGAGTGCAGTGGCATGCATCATTATGAACTGGAATATGGACCATTCCTGCAGGGCACTACCTAGAGCAGGCCACCCTTATAATAGTAATATAATTGCTTACACTTTCTGGACACTCCACTCAAAGTGCTCTACAGGTAATGGGGACTCCCCTCCACTACCACCAATGTGCAGCATCCACCTGGATGATGCGACGGCAGCCATAGTGCGCCAGAACGCTCACCACACATCAGTTATCAGTGGGGAGGAAAACAGAGTAATGAAGCTAATTCATAGCTGGGGATTATTAGAGGGCCATGATGGATAAAGTCCAATGGGAAATTTGGCCAGGAGGCCACTCTTCCAAACTGAGAAGGCAGGCAAGCAGACATTTTGTCACAGATGCCACTGTGCTGCCAACAGTGACCTTGAAAGATCTGACTGGGATGGTATCCACTGCTTATACAGTATATCAACAACATCTTGGTCTCAACAGCAAGCTGGCCTATATAGATGTGTGGCAAGTAATAAGCCTTTACTGAAAAAGACTCGTCTTAAATCTAGAATGAAGCAAACAGCAGATTCATGGCAGAATGGGGTGGCAAGGTGGTGAAGTGGTTAACATTGCTGCCTCACAGTGCTGGGGCCCTGGGCTCATGTCCAGCCCTGGTGTACTACAGTATCTGTGTGGAGTTTGTCTGTTCTTCCCGTATTCATGGGGTTTTTCTCCAGATGCTCTGGTTTCCTCCCACTGTCTAAAGACATACTGGTAGCGTGACTGTCGCGGTTCTGCACTGGCTCATGCCCTCCGCCGCTCCACCCCGCCCGTTTCGTCCCGCAACACCTGGAACGCGAACCCGGGTCTCTGGTGTAACGCAACAGGGAACCAGCTGCCTGAGCTAAAGGAGACTTCCCTCAGCCCAGGCGGCTGAGGTCTCTGCTACGCGCAGGGAAGGCGATGACGTCACCGTGTCCGAACTAGCTCCGCTACAGTAGGTTGATTGCCTTGGAAAATAGTCCCTGGTGTGAGTGTCTGTGCATGTCTGTGTCTACAGTATGTGTACCCTTCGATGGACTGGCATCCCACCCAGGGTGTGTTCCCTTTATCCATACAGGGTTGTGGGTGAGCTGGAGCCTGTCCTTGCAAGCAGTGGACACAAGGCAGGATACACCCTGGATGGGGTTCCAGTCCATTGCTGGGCAGACCCAGGAACAAACACAAACTTGCACACTCTCACAGCAGGGCCAGTATGGCAGTAATCTATCTTTTTATCCCAAAGGATCCCAAAGCACATCATCTGTAGGAGAGGACCCTTTCGTCTACCACTGAAGAGCCTGACCCACCTGAGTAACTCATGGTGGCCGTTTTGTACCAGAAACCCCTTTACACCGCAGATGAGGTACAGTGAGAAACTAGTTGAATTAAAGAGGAACTTTG